AAATAAATAAATCTTAAAAAAAAAATCTATTTTATCCATCAAATTATTATTTCCTTTTAAGACAAAAATCAGAGAAGCGTGTCTTTTCATTTGTAATTTTTTTTCCACTGGGTACTTTACAAATTAATATTTTTTACAACTTAATTTTCTTTTATGGTGAAAAAATTTGTATTTAGATTTATAGCCAGCTGGACTCCTTTTAGATGATCCCAATTTTGTTGGCAACATCCAAAGCATCATAGTCAGGAGCCAGTCAAACATATGCTTTCTTCTCTCCATCAGGCCTGATCAAGGTGTTGACCTTGGCCATATCAATGTCATAGAGCTTCTTCACAGCCTGTTTGATCTGGTGCTCATTGGCCTTTATATCCACAATGAACACAAGTGTGTTGTTGTCTTCTGTTTTCTTCATGGCTGACTCAGTAGTCAGGGGCAACTTGATGATGGCATAGTGATCAAGCTTGTTTCTCCTGGGGGCGCTCTTTTGAGGATATTTGGGCTGCCTTAAAGACAGCAGGGTCTTGGGTCGTTGGAATGTAGGTGACACATGGATCTTTTTTTTGGTGACTGCATGCCTTTCAGCACCGCTTTCTTAGCTTTCAAAGCCTTTGCTTTGGCTTTGGCTTTGGGAGGGGCAGGGGCTTCCTTCTTCGCCTTTGGCGCCATCCTTGTGAAAGGGCCAACTTAAATTTTATTGCAAATCTCAAAAATAGAATTATTGGTCTTTCCCTTTAAATTTTAATTGTTCGGGATCCCTGGGTGGCTCAGCGGTTTAGTGCCTCCTTTTGGCCCAGGGCGTGATCCTTGAGTCCCGGGATTGAGTCCCACGTTGGGCTTCCTGCATGGAGCCTGCTTCTCCCTCTGCCTGTGTCTCTGCCTCTCTCTCTCTCTCTCTCTGTCTCTGTGTGTGTGTATGTGTGTGTGTGTGTGTGTGTGTGTGCCTCTCTTGAATAAATAAAATCTTTAAAAAGAAAATTTAATTGTTCGACTAACTGAATTATTTCTGTTGAGCCTGTGACATGAGTTTGAAAATAATTTGTAATAATCTGCTAATCTATAAATACATGTAGTTGGCTTTTTACGCCTTGTCTTTCTCCTATATATATATCTAGCACTTGACTACAAAAATATGAATGCTATAGTACATTTTATTTTGTCTCAGAACTTCTTACCATATTGCAAGAGAATATGCAACTCTTGGTCTCAGGGTCATGAGTTCAAGCCCTATATTGGACCTAGAGCCTACTTTTAAAAATAAATAAAAGATTTTAAGAATCTAATTCTTTTTAAGATTTATCTATTTTATTTATTTATTTATTTATTTATTTATTTATTTATTTATTTATATCTATTTTATTTTAGAGAGAGCATGTGCACATGAGTAGGGTAGGGGTTTGGAGGGCAGAGAGAGAAAAGAAAATCTCAGGCCGACTCTGTGCTGAGTGCAGAGTCTGACACAGGGCTCGATTTTCATGACCCTGAGATCACGACCTGAGCTGAAATCAGGAGTTGGATTCTTAAATGACAGCCACCCAGGCACCCCAAAATCTAATTCTTAATTACTAGATAACTCTTTATAAGGCATCTTACCATGGAGTTGAATTAGTGGTGCTCCTATAGAGGCATTTGAGTCACAATTTAGAAAGGAACTTACTAGGGCAATTTTTTTTTAATTTTTTAAATTTATTTATGATAGTCAGAGAGAGAGAGAGAGAGAGGCACAGAGACCTAGGCAGAGGGAGAAGCAGGCTCCATGCACTGGGAGCCCGACGTGGGATTCGATCCTGGGTCTCCAGGATCGCTCCCTGGGCCAAAGGCAGGCGCCAAACCGCTGTGCCACCCAGGGATCCTGGCAATTTTTTTAAAAAAACTGAATTTATACTGTGTAATAACCAGGGAGCCTCATGGTTTTAAAGTTCTGTTTTCCCATTTTCATTTGTCAAGTGTTCAAGCTGGTTTCCACAAGGTGTGAGAGGTTTCATTTGTTAATAGTGCTATTTTCCACCTAAATATAGTGACTGCATTTTTATTTCTCGGTAGATTTGGAGAATCACAAGTAGAATGGTAGAATAAAAAATGGAGAGCAGAGAGGTAGAAAATTCAGAGCAGTCAGTCTGCAATCACGAGGGGAAGTTGTGAAGATAGACCATTAAAAGCAGTGAGTGTCTCGGTGAGAAGAGGCTGAAAGTGGAAGGTTGAGTGGTCCTAGGCACAGGTAGGCCATGCTGCCTTTACACTCTGCAAGGTGGCAAGAACACAGATGACCAGCACTTGGATGCTCCTTGGTTTTTACCTCTGCTTTGTGATAAACCAGCACTTTGTGATGTTGGAGAGGTTCAGACTCTTAGATCTGTTGTGTCAGCCTGCCTTGCCTTATAAAACGTTAGTGTACATTGGGGATCAAGAGTAATAATAACAACTCTGAAGAAGCTCTGCAGGTGAAAACCTCTGTGAAAATGGGTCCCTGACTCATGGTGTCCATTGAATTGAAAAACAAAACAAAACAAAACAGGCCTGGGGGTGCCTGGATGGTTCAGTGGGTTGGGCATCTGCCTCCACCTCTCGTCATGATCCTGGAGTCCTGGGATCAGGCTCTCTTCCCAGCGGGGAGTCTTTTCTCCTTCTGCCTCTCACTCTGCTCGTGTGCTCTCTATCTCATAAATAAAATCTTGGGGCAACATGTCTGTAAACCCCCCTATAAATTTCTTGATGCTGTCTTAGAAATGGCTGATCTTGGGTTGCCTGGGTGGTGCAGTTGGTTAAGCATTCAACTCTTGGTTTCAGCTGAGGTCGTGATCTTAGAGTTGGGAGATCAAGCCCCATGTCAGGCTCTGTGCTCAGTCAGCTTCATTTTCTCTCCCTTTCCCTCACTGCTCACTGTCGCTGGTGCCCACCCACCCCCCCACAATGGATAAATAAAATCTTAAAAAGAAAGGGCTGATCTTCTGTTTGGACCATGGTCTAAATAGGTGTTGGAGTCTAGAGTTTAGGTCTCTGTTAATTGAAGTTTTCCTCATTTTATGCACCTTACCTTTTTTTTTGTTTGTTTGGTTTGGTTTTTGAGGAATTGTTTATTTTAAAGACATTCATTTATTTGAGAGAGATAGCGTGCACTAGCAGAGGGAGAGGGAGAAGCAGACACCCCACAAGCAGGGAGCCCAATGCAGGGCTCGATCCCAGGACCCTGGGTTCATGACCTGAGCTGAAACCAAGAGTCAGACCCCCAAACAGCTGAGCCACCCAGGCATCCCTTTTCTTTTAGCTTTTTGTTTCTTGTTTTGTTCTGTTTTATAGATACCTATGTTTAAACAACCACATTACTGGATTTTAGTGTTTCTGCTTGAGTCTTAGCCATCTTATAAACTAATCCAAATGACTTTCATATTTGCCTCAGAAAACATACCTCCTTTTCCTCAGAGGGCATTGACCTCCCTGGTAACCAAGAGAGGCAATGGGGCTGGGCCCAACGCCTCTGTGCTTCAGGGGGTTGGAGCAGGGATGGGGCAGGAGGAAGGAGGTCAGCCTTCACACGAATGGCAGCAAAGCCATTCTGGCATACTTCACACGAAGTGTGCCAGCAGAGCTGTGTGCCGGTGGACTTCTAAAGCTGCCTTGTCCCCTTTGGAATCCAGGCTAGTAGTCAAGCTTGCTGGACCATAGTTTTAGCAGAAGACCCTTTTTTCCCAATGAAATTTTTAAAGTTAAAAAAAAAAATTAAAGTTGAGATTTCTAAAAATTTGCTAAAAAGTCAGGACAGTTAACTGTTAGAATGGGCAGGAAAAATTGGAAATAATATGAATGACAGATGCATCTGATATCCACTTCACCCAGGTTATTTCTGAATGTGTGTTGTTGGAGCAGTGATAGGAATCTTTTAACCTTTACCTTGTCATTTGGGAGGAGTCTTCAGTCAAATACATGATGAAAGCAGTTTCATTCCAAGGGAGATCCGCATGAAAAGCAGGTAGCAGGCAGCACAGGTTAGTTTAGCAGTGGTGCATTTCAGTATACTTTTTTCTATTATAACTTTATAAATAAAGGTTTAAAAAGTTGAAAGCCCAGACACTTGTTGGGCCCTTAAAATACCTCCCTAGAGTTCTGTGGGTCTCCAGAACAATTTGAAAACCACTTCCAAAACAAAATTCCTGCCTTCTCCTTAATGAGTGGAGCAGTCCCTAACTGGTGCCTGTCCTCTCACAATAGATAGAATTCCTCCCACCCTGAAGTTTAAAGTAGGCCGAAAAAGATAAATTCCCAGAGTTGGGCTTCCTTTCCCTCTGATGGCCCCACAGAGGGGCAGGCAATGGACAAATCAGGGAGACATTATTGCTGCCTGGGGCAGGAGAGGGGAGTGTGGCTTGGTAACTGAGGTCTTGTTGGTGACAGCATTTCCACCCCATGTAAATTAGGGTGGAGATAGATTTTTTTTTAATACCCTTTTTTTGTGTGATTTCACTTCAACCATCCTGAGAGAGTAGTTAAGTGTTCATTTCTTTCCTGTTGGGAATTAATAACTGACATAGGGAGAAAAAAGGTTGCTTTTGTGCTCAGAAGGTCCTTCACTTAATACACATTCTCACCAGCTGAGGAGGACAGCACGCTTATGGTAGCATCTTGTGTCTTTGTTTTGTTTTGTTTTGTTTTGTTTTTTTCTAAGATTTTTATTTCTTCATTAGAGACACAGAGAGAAAGAGGCAGAGACAGAAGCAGAGGGAGAAGCAGGCTCCCTGTTGGGAGCCTGATGCCGAACTCGATCCCAGGACCCCAGGATCACAGTCTGAGCTGATGGCAGATTCTCAACCACTGGCCACCCAGGTCCCCCCACATTGTGTCTTTGGCACTGCTTGATTTTAGGTTTATGCACCCCCCCCCCCAAGAAAAAACTTTAAAAATTCTGTAGGTTCCTTTGGATAGAACAGCAGTGTGTATGGGTTAAACTTTTTTTTTTTTTTAGTTTGCAGAGAAAATGCTGACTGTGTCTTCTTTCTCCATCCTTACAGGTTGGTGACATTGTGAAAGTCACAAGGATGAATATAAATGGCCAATGGGAAGGCGAAGTGAATGGGCGCAAAGGGCTTTTCCCCTTTACGCATGTCAAAATCATTGACCCTCAAAACCCTGATGAAAACGAGTGATTGCTGTTGCCTGTTTCCTGCTGCTTCCTTGTTCTGCCTGTCATAGTCTCCTTTGAAGTGGGAAAGCATTCTCTCTCATAGGCAAGTTACACTGCATTGCCGATGTCCAGCTTTCTGCAGAGTGGCGGTCTCTCATACACATTTGGAATGCACAGTGGCTGCCTCGGCATTTGTATCATAGTCGTATTGTCAAAGAGTAGCAGATATTAGAGTTCTTTTGGATCATAAACTGGATATACTGGTGGAAGCACACAAGTGGAGAGAAGTTGATGAGGAAAGGGTCGGTCTTCTCGTCACTGCCCTGTTTGTACTTGTGACTGATTCTGTCATGTTCATCAGATGGAGCTTGAGGCCATGGTGAGACATTGCACGTTGCTGTTCCACAAAGCAATGGTTCAGTCGCCGTTTTGTTTTTCCTTTGAAGAACAGAGCAAATGAACCTTAAAGAAGAGGGAATTCTGTCCTAAACTCCCCAAATCTGGCTCTTCTTTTTTCCTTTCGTTTGGTTTTGGAAGACTTAATTAGACTTGTGTGTTCTGAACAGGTTTTTAAGTAGCAGGTTGGATTTTTGTGATATTGTAAGGAATGACACGTGCCTCTGAGCTTCCCAAACTGAAGCTGCTGTAACTAAAGGAATATGGAAAAACAAAACAAAACACAACCCTGAAGCAGAGGCCTTTATTGTCTTGGCTGCCAGTTGTACCTGTTTTGCCATGTAGTAAACAACCCACAAAAGTCAGTTGTAATGTGCCAAGCTTGTGTGCCTGGCTCCTTGGATTACGTTTTCCCCAAAAGCACCAGAGTAGGGGGTGATTTGGGGAAGGCTTTGCTTACTTTGTCAGTGATGACAGGAACAATGGGGGAAAGCACTTGGCTAGTTTTCTGTCCAGTGTTTCAGTGAATACACCCCTTTAAGGTATAGGAATTAAATTTCTTTAAAAAGTGAGGTTGTTCATAGAATCATTGACTTCATTAATGAATCTTTAAATTCTACTCACTGAGGCTCACTCCTCGCTGCTGCAGGCCAAGCTCACAAAGCTGCCAGAGAAAGATGGTGCTGCTAATACTGGTTCCCCAGTCTCTGTGTCTGAGACGCTCCCAGGCAAAGAAAGTTCAAGTTCTGGAAATTGGTTAATGCATCTGATGTCTAAGATTTTAGTGACTTGGGAGAACCATTAGCGATTTAGCAATTTGATGTAAACATTTCCTTGTTAGCTAAAAGAGGGCTGTTCATACAAGCCAGCTTGGTACAAAGGTGTGGCTGATTCATTGTCTGGTGTACATAGCAGACTAGGATTCTGGAACCTTCATGCAGTTCAGTCTGCTCTCCCTTCTGGAAACTGATGAAGACATGCCTCAGCTCAGAATGAATACAGCAGACCTGGAAATATAGCAGTCACCTACTGAGTGAGTGACTGCATCATTTGCTGAGCGGCTGCTATAGCCCTGGCCCTGTCTCCTAAGGGTCTTAGGTTTTGAATTAGAGCAGTATATATATATATATATTCTGGTGACAGAACCAGCAAAGCAGCCATTTTTTCAATCTCTCCTTAAATCAGTATTCCATTAGGTAGATAACTGCCGTATTAAAGAATCTTGGAAGTGTTCCCATGACAAAGTTAATAATGACCAATTGGAAAAAAATATCACTGTGGCTACCTGTCTGTGGTTTTCCTGATAAAAATGCAGTCTGCTCTCCCTAATCAGTGAGCACTGTGACCACGTCTTGCTCTGAAGGTGCCTGTCCATTGTAGTTGCCTCTTATTCTGAGTTTAGCCCCCCCCCCGCCCCCCCAGCTCCCACAGTAAGGGGCACACATGTGGCAGCAATTCCCTCTGCCTGCGTGGACACAGTGTTCACCTTGCAGCCAGTGGCCCGGTACTAAAGGGGTTGTCCCACAGAAGGTGGAGTATGTGCTATGTGCCTTGTTCAGAGAGGGCACAAACCTTAAGGCTTTCTTAAACCAAGTTTAGCTGAGGGGCTTAGCACCTTTTGGTGACAGTAGTTGGTTCGGAGTACTCAGGAAGTATGTGGGCATTTTGGAAAGCAAGACTTCCCTTCAGCCTTATCTGCTGACCCATAACAAGACCCACCTCATGTGGAGCACTTCAGAATCAGAACACACCACAAACCTACTTTGGCTTCATAATAAGTCTGCTTGTCACTTCAACCTATGTACATGTCTCCAGGGCTGCCCAGGAGACGGAGCCTGAAATAAGGTGAGTCTTGAGTTCTGAACTCTCCAGATATGTGCCAAAAGTGTAGTACCTTTTTGACTTAGGATCTTATTAGTTTTTTTATCAGGCAGGGAATTTCTCTTCATCACACTAAATAGACAAAAAACAGCACGCTCACCTCAGCTTCGTGCTTGGGTTCCCCAGTGATTGGGGAAAACTTCCTGTTTCAGAAAGTGATGCTTTTCTTCCAGAGGAGCTGCCTTCCCTCCGTGGTTGGTCTCCTTTTAGGATTGTTCATTATTGCTACTTGCTCTGCTCTACTGTGTGTCACTTAAGAAAATATTTGGATGTTAAATTAACTCACTTGGGAACTGAACAAATTACGAACTAAAGGGCATTGACAGTTTGACTCAAAACTTATTTATCCTGAAAAGGACCTCCAACACAGGAGTCCTCCTTGTCATTTCTTTGTGGTGTGGTACCACCTGAGGCATGGTTAAAGAGGAGCACATGTCGACGAGCTGCCATTTGACAACTTTGATCACCCATACAAGACACCACCTGTGCTCATGGTTGGAAAACTGAAAGGGGGGGAAGGACAGCTGCTCCCCTCCTTGGAGCTCAAGGATCCTTGGCTCCGTGCTTTCTTTTACAGCTGTTTACAGACAAGACAGGCCAAGGCAGACGGCCCCTGCTCTTGTAATGTTTGCTCAGAGGAATATGACCATTTTATTTTTGAAAAGGGATGATGTGTTTTTGTGCCAGGTGTTTATAATTTAATCCTTTAATATTATGTTCATTAACCTCTTAAAATGAGTGACTTTTCGATTGTTTTAACACAGTACCTAAGACTAATGCTTTCTGTGGACACCACTGAGCTCTGCCTCAAACTCCACCCTCTGGGACCAGAGACCTCTGTCCCTGGTTAACTGCTATCAGTGTGGAAACTGAGCTGGTTGTATATTCTAAAGGAGTAGAAGGACAGTTCCCTGAGACAGGGTCCTTGTCTCTGCAGGAGGAACAGTGGCCTTGCTTCTAGACGGTCTTCACTGTGTGTTTTAAAATGACAACAACAACACAAAACTTTTGACCTGTAACTTAAAGATCATAAACTTCAGGCAATAATATTTTCTGTGTAAGCTTTTAAAATTATTTTTGGGGATCATAGCTTGTTTTATTTTGTGCTATAAAATTAACAGTATTAAATGACTTATATTCTTAGAATATCGAGTGTCTTTTCTTAACAGATTAGTGCCTTTTTATTTTTGTATTCATTTTACGTTACTGGTCCCGGCATCAGAACCCTTGTTTCCATGGCCTGTTTGTACATTGTCTCAATAAAACTTGCATCAGCCGGTGGTGGCAGCGGCGGCTTTGGTGTTTCGGTGTCTCCTCAGTGCTGCCTGCAGGCTCTCAGCCCACATCAGCCTCCCAAGCAATTAAGCACCTGGTGGATGCCTGTGAAACACAAAAATAACCAGTGCTCCTCCAGGGATGCGTCTTGCAGCCCACCCCTGTCCTTGCTGACCAAAAAAGAAGTCTTGCATTGGCCCTTCCCCACCCTTAGCCCCCACCCCCACCCAAAAGAGAAGCAGCTGGTGTTGTGTTCCCCTTTGGAAGATGAAACAGTAGTTGCCACACTTTGTCACCAAGGAAAACTTGGATGTTTTCCCTTCTAGGCACCTGTATCTGAAGGCTTCTGTTAAATATTTGTTCAGCACAAGCTACCCAGCGTTCAGTGGTTTCAGGTAAAAGTCCTAGAAAACAAGCAGCCTCATCCCAAGTTAGGGCATGATACCTGCTTAACTTTTTATATTCTTTTCTCTTCCCATCTGTATATAGCCTTCCTGATGAACTCCAGGGACCTGCAGGTAGACAGTTGAGGGGCAGAGCACACCACAGTGATTTTCTTGACATCCCCCTCAGCCAGAGCCCCATTCCTCCAGGTATTTCTGTGCCTATTGAGAGGTCCACATTTCCTTGTAGTAAAACCTCCGGAAATTAGTTTCAGGAAGTGATTCCAATCCATATTTATATAGAACTATGCTGCGAAAATGTACTCCCTGGCTCCTACTTTCAGGATTCTGCAAAATTTGAAAGAAAAGTTTGTCTTAAGTAGAAATACCAAACTGTTAAATGTTTCTGAAAGAAACACCCTAAAGACAGACCCCTTTGAATACTTTCAGGTTGAAAAGGTGTATTTTGATCAGCAGTACTGGGCTGGGTTCCTCTGTGGCAGGGTAACCCTTGGAAATGGGGCCAGGTGTGGGGGGCTGCTCAATGTTGTATAGTCTCCCTCTAAGCTAGGCTCATTGCGGGCCCGCAGAGGCCATTGCCCAGATCTTGAAACCTCATTCCACAGCAAAACCCGGGACATTGCTGGGTTTTGCACACAGTCTCCTCCCTGATCCGTGTTCTGGGAGGCCCTTCTAACTTGCCTAGTCATGGATCCTCTCTCCCAGCCCCCTGTAAAGACCTGACCCTGCCCTTGGAGTCTGTGCGCACACCCTGGTTCCCTGAGCTAGAGCACAGAGGGGACCCCTGCCCTGCCCTGCCCTGCCCTGGAAGGCTCCTGGCACAAAGATGATTTGTGACAATGGGAGCCCCTGTGGAGCCTCCAACAGGTTCAGGAAGGCTTCCTGGCTGCCTGGGGGAGGGGAACTAAATGTAATCCAGGCCTAGGGAGCAGCTCGGGGCTGGAGCATTCCCTGGCTTTGTCTTGGCCCGAGATGCCTTGCTGACTTGAGACCTCGAGTGACCTGCCCTTCCTGGTCCCTCTGGTTTCATCAACACCGCTGGCCCTCCACCTTCGCTGCACAGTGGAGACCTTGGGGATCCCATCCCAGGTTCTGATTTCATGGATTTGGACGCTGGATTTTTTTTTTTTTTTAAGTTCTCCGGAGTTTTCTGTTATGCAGCCAAGTTGGAGAACTTTTGCCAGTGAACTCCCTCCTGCGCTCTCGGAAGCCCTGGGCCAAGGAGCTGTGGCCTATCCACTGATGCCTGTCATAGGTGAGCGAGCCTTGAGTCCGTCCGGGAGCGCGGACCGGAGCCAGTGGGAGGAGTGCCCTTCCGGGAGCACTCCCTGCCCCTCCTTTATGGAGAAGACCCTGGGGTGGAGGGCCCCCGGCGCCACACACCTGGTACTTGGAGGCATCCTGGGCGCCAGGCCAAGGGCCGCGTCACCTAGACCCCCGTCCACCACCTCGCGGGCCGGTTCTGGAGACCACTACTACCAACAGGTCCACCAGACCCCTAATACCTGGCTCCAGCACTCCCCACGCCCCGCCGCAGCCGTCGGTCCCCGGGACAGGCGGGGACAGTCACGCGGGGAGGGATGCCGAGAGGGAGGACCCTAAGCGGGGTGAAGGCGGAGGACGTAAACTCCCGGGACCCCAGAGCTTCCCTGCCGCCCCCCTCCCCTCAGGTCCCGGAAAGGGCTTGTCCCTTCCGGGACGTTGTCCAGAGTGCGTGGTTCCCGGGGGACCCCCTGCCGTCCGCGGGGTCGGGGCGCTGGCCGGGGCTTCCCGGCGGCGGGGCCGAGGCCGGGTGGGGTGGCCGGCATGGGGCCCGGCGGCCGTCAGCGCGGCCCTTGTCGGGACGGTTCCGGGGGCTCCTGGGCTCCCCGCCCTGAATGACCTGTGCCCTGGAGGCTCCCGGGGGCGGGGCCGGAGCGCCTTAGCCCCGCCCTCGCTGACGTGGGGGCGGGCCCTGGCGGAGGGCGGGCGGGGGCGGGGCTAAGGCGGAGCCCTGGGAGGACGGCCCGCCCCCGCCCGCCGCGGAGAGCCAGGCGGAACCTGCCCTGAGGCTGAGCAGTCTGAGGAAGTGGCTCCGGAAGGGGAAGGGGGTTAGGCCCTCGGAGTGGGCGCCAGGAGCTGACCAGCAGCCAGGTTCTGGAGGGAGGGAGTGATCTATCGTGGGCCGGCACCACGAGGAGAGACCTGGGCAAGGGCTGCACCAGATCCAGTGAGCAGAGGAAAGGGACCCAAGCCCCACTGCCAGCCCTTCGGGAATGGCGATTCGCAGTCCACCCCAGCTTCCCAAAACAGCTCCGAGGAGTTTGGAAAATTCCACTTGGGCATCAAGGTTGGAGAAAAAACATCCATAGAATGCAGCATTCAAAAGACGGGCATCTGATGAACCGTCCCCTCCACTGTCCATTCCACTCTCCAGCAGCTCCCTGTTTCCAGTTTATGATATATATTTTATAATATATTAATATAATTCTATATATCCACAGTTATTCTATAACATACAAGCAAATACCTCTGTAAATATCCTTTCTAAATATTTTCTCTACACAAGGTAGCATAGATACTGTTCTGCAGCTCACTTTATTTCCCCAATCTGTTTTAAAGATTTTTGTGAATCTGCATATTGAGTCTCTGTTCTTTTTCATCACTGTATCGTACTCCATGATACGGATGGACTGCCACTCTCAATAGTCCGCTATTGATGGACATGGAGGTCCTTTGCAAGGGGGTCAGATGCATTAAAATGAGCTGCTCCAATTGCCAGAGAAGTAATTTTGAGAAGTGTTGCCAAATTGCCCTAGTAGGGATTACCTTAATTTACACTTCTGTCAGCAATGTATAAGAAAATATTTTTTTAAGAAAATCTTTATAACATTTTTACAAATTCTCTGTAGACACCTTTTATGGCTGAACAATATTCCTTCACGTGGCTGACGTAGTTTAAGCTAGCACATTTGTCTTTGAGGTGTGTGGAGCTTGTTGCCAATCTTCTGATGATAGAAAATCCTCAGGTCTAAGTAAGGGCTGCAGGGGCATGGCCCACCTTCCAGGCCACCAGCTGACTCTGGCCCAGGCTCATCCCAGGTGTCTGCTGACCTCCTGGCCTCTGTGCCCTGTTCCACTCCAGTGCCAGCCCTAGTTACTGCTATGGTTTTTGGTTTAGTTTTGTTTTTTTACTAAAGCACATGTGACCAAAATCTCTCACCCAACTCCTCTTTGGGCTCATAAAATACCTCCATGCTATGCCCCTGCCCAGAACTCAGCACTCAAGCCAGACTGGAATTTGCCATCTTCCCTCCTTGCCTATGCTGGGACAGTTCTTCTGCTTGGATGCCCTTCTTCTCTCTAGTGAGCTCCTAAGGACCTGTCTGTCCTGGGTCCTTGCCACCTCCTAGAAAAGCCCTTCTGAACTTTCCCTCCTTCTGTAAGGACTGGAATTAGGACTGGTTACTCCGCAGCCTGGGAACAGGTCAGTTTGGGGAGCACCAAGGGGGGCTGAAGAGGTCAGTAGGAGCTGTAGCCGGCCTCCACAGAGGATGCTAATAAGTACACGGTGTTCAGCCTGTGTAGACCAAAGCAGGCTAGGGGGAGGCTGGGGTGCAGGAGCCAGAGGAAGTCAAGAATGAATCTGGGGTGTGCAGTTTAGCCCAGGCTTCCCAACCTGGAGATTCCCCACCTTCTGCTTCCCTATGCCTGAGTCACAGTGAGTCTCTGGGCACAGCTGGCCTCAGCTCAGGCGTTGACTGTCCTGTATCAGCCCCCTAATATTTCCTGGGAATCAGTTAGTAAATCTGAGGTCTCCGGATCTGGAAATCCACTTAAATCTATCAGAGAAGAGGGCACTCCTGTCTCAGCAGCCACCGCCCCGGGATCTCAAAGCTCAGGGAGGCCCCGCTGGCCCTCAGAGTGGCCTCCAGGGGGCGCCAGTGTCAATCCCAAGGTTAAGCATCGAGGCTGTCTCTCAGTCGGAAGAATCCTGCACCCTAGCTTCCAGGCCCTAGGCTGAGGGGAATGGGGAACAGGGAAACTGACAGGAGGGGGTAGACGGAAGGAAAACAGAGACAGGCTTGGGCAGGGGTCACACACACACACACTTCTCAAACCCTGGCAACCCCCACCCTTCAGGGTGTCTGCTGGCTGTAGGGGTCTCTCAGCTACCCCAGGTCACCTCACTACATCTCAACCTGCAGCTCCATTTCCCTCTTTGTGATCATCCCGGTGGGTATTCTCCAGACCAGATGTTACTGCCTTGCCAGAATCATCCTAAGGGCCGGATCAGGACCTCAGACTGCCCAAGGCTCAGAGGCCTCCTGAGTCCCCCTCCATCCCCTTGTCCACCTGCACCACCCCAGGTCTGAGGGCCTCTCTGAGGCGGCACTCCTAGCCTATCTTTGGTGTTGGCTTTTGCTCCCTGATGACTTGCGATTTCTGCTGCCCCCTCAGGGCAGCTGGAATCTCCGGCCTGATCTCTAGAACCAAGGAGGCCACAGTGGATTTGCCCCACATCAAGGCTGCACTTACCCTGTATCGGAGCATGTCACAGCTTGTTGGCCTCTTCACAGCTCCCACACTGACCTCGTCTCATCTCTGCTACCCCACACTTAGCAGCCCCTGCCCCA